CCAGACCGCAATACATTGTATACAGCAGGAGTTGATGGCACAGTCACTGTTTGGGATGTTGCAACAGGTAAGAAGAGATCATGAAGTTTAATAATGGTATCTAGTTTATTTCATAGAGGTGATCAATGGAAATGAGAAACATGTCTTTTACTATAAGCTGGTTATTGTTAAAGAAATTTGAGATTATTATCGTTGATATTAGATGGACTGGGGTATAAGTAAAATGATAATTTCCGATTGAAACTGCATCATTTCCTGAAAAGCAACATAAAAGAAAATGAAATGTGTAACCACTCCTATTTTTTTACCTCTTCAAACAGGCGACAATGACCGCATTTCCGGCAAGGGCCACGGGAACCATGTCTCGGGCATTGTTGTGAAGGATGACATTGTCTTCAGTGCTGGTATCGACGACTCTGTGAAAGTCATTGGTTAGTCTGAAATGCTTTTGTATTATGTGCTTCATTCATTGCCGGATTATATTTCTTTTATTTTTATCTTTTTTTCGGTTTCAAGTCATTTTTGCATATTTTGACAGATTGTTAATGAAATATCCATATGTGGCTTATAATTTTTGTAAAAAATAATGAATGAAATTTCAGACCGTCTCCAGAATGGTTACACTGGAACATCCATCTCCTTGGGATCGCAACCCAAGATGATTGCCTCCCTTGATGATGGTGTCATCTGTATTACCACTAAAGAGGTTAGTCGGTTATGCACTGATATGAATCCAACCTTGAATTGAACAGAAATTTTGGCCACAATTATTTGTCTGTTGCTGAGAAGGCAAATGCAAAATGTGAATATTTCCCCAGTAATCATTTTATGTAAATTATTAGGAATATTATGATCTTGTACACAAGGATGATGATGAATTTTGACCCTAAGAAAACATAGATATAGACTTCCTTATAAGTGTAAGTAATGATAACGGATGGAAACTCAAATTCAAAATTAGATATACACCCATTATGTACCCATTTTCTCCTTGTAGTTTTCAGCTTCTCTCTCTCTCTCTCATCACAGATCTGCATGATCCGCGACAACGTGAAAGTGGGAAGCTTCCCCGTCAGCTGGGACGGCCTCTCCATATCCACCAATGGATCCTTCAGTAACGATGTGGCGGTCGGCGGCCAGGACAATCTTATCCACATTTACACCCTTGATGGCAACACCCTTACAGAGGTGAGCTGAAACGGGGATGTGTAAGTCAAATGTTTTATTTTACTCAGACTTTTCACAATGAGCTGTATGAATGGCGGAGGGTGGGGGAGGGGTCTGTCTGAGAGGTCTGATGCCAAGGTTTTTGGTGATGATGCCGGTTCTCAGGGATCAAGAAATTTTGGGTTTAAATGTGGGTTGAATTTGTATTGAATTATTATTTTATGGTATTCAATAGATTTGTTACATTTGTGAGGATTCATCTATTGGTAGCATGATAATTATTGCATAGAAGACCCTGGCATTTGTATTCTGTGGTGTCTGTAGAGTTGTTTACCTTATTGATTATTTGCAGAAAACCACTCTGCAACATCTAGGACCAGTGACTGATGTGGCCTATTCCCCCGATGGCCAGTATCTTGTTGCTTGTGATGCAAACCGCAAGGTATGTGACTCTGTAAAATATTCATATACCTGCCTGTTGGATGAAATCACATATATTTCCAAAAGTAATTTGAAATTACAAATATACTGTACTGTAATGTAATCTCCTCATCTCTATCAGGTAATTGTGTACAGTCTCCCTGGCTATGAAAAGTTCAACCGTATGGAATGGGGCTTCCACAACGCGCGCATCAACTGTGTCGCCTGGAGTCCTGACAGCAGTATGGTGGCTAGTGGCTCTCTTGACACCATGATCATCATCTGGAGCATGACACAGACTAACAAACACATCATTATTAAGAGTGAGTATCTGAAATGAGGCTTCTTTTTTTATTATGATTATTTATTTATTTATTTATTTATTTATATAATAACTGCAGTTGGCAATCTAAACAGAATGGAGAAAATGTGGCTAAAGCTGAGTGCAGCTGAGTATCATCGACTCAAACCTTAAATACAATGTCATCATTTTCTGAGACTGTGAATAAATAGATAAGATAATTGAGCTCATGCTGATTATAGTGCACCCGATGGCAAGACTACATTAGTGCATGATCTCATTATCTGAATAAAATGCTTGCTCACAGCACTTTTTAGGCATAGAGCTTATACGTATATGTAAAGTTTGTCGACAAAATATCTTTGTGCCATGAATATTCATGGAGTCCTTACCATTTTATCTATAGTAACATCTTGCATTATTTTCTTTGAAAGCTGTTGAGCAAAGTTTATCCATATTTTGCACATAATATTGCTGTTGTTCACTTACAAAAACAGGTATAAAGGAGTTTCCTTGGTCTGTTTTAAGATTGCTGCATTACATAATTCTTGTTGTATTGCTAATGCCAAGCTAAGCAGGCTTTAATTTTCTTACTTTCTTTTAATTTCTATTATTTTGCATGAGCAGTTAACACTAGACTATATCTCAAGAATATCACTTTATATTTTTCTTCTTTAATGCTATACTTTTCCTTTGCTCTGTTTAGCTTCAGTCAAATTAAAAAACTCACGAAAGGTTCACACATAGATATGCGAGCGATACTCTACACCATTTTACGTACCTGCCCTACAGACTCGCACCAACAAGCCCAGGTCACAGGCATGGTGTGGTTGAACAACGAACAGCTAATTTCTGCGGGCCATGATGGAGTAGTGAAAAAATGGAGCGTCAAGTTCTAGAACAATGGTTGTGTGATTTGTTTCAAAGATTTCTTCCCTTTTCCCCCCACCTATCCCCTTTTTATAATGTTGGTGGGAGTTACTAACTTGTTTTGTGAGATTTGTTTGCCTGTCTCTGTGTCAGGTGTGCGTTACCGAATGCGACCTCATGGTTTGAAATTTTCCAGTCCTCTCCTATTTACTTCTGAGGTTTTTTTGAGTTGCATTTGAGATCTAATATTGAAAGATTCAAATTTGAGGCAGTCCTATTGTGATGTCCACTCTTGGTTTAGATTTTTTTCTGTGGAAACTTTATCAGCATGTTAAGATGTGTGCTTAGGAATATATCTTCCTCTGTTCTTGTCTTGTGGATTAAATTGAGGCTGTTTTAGGTACTTCTCAGTCCCATAGACTGTGTTGAAATTTGAATGTGTGACCGGATTGTGCAGGTGAATGTGGTTTTCAACCCAGATAAACTGTCTAGTACATTAAGACCTGATCCTTTTGTCCTAGAGAAAGGTTTAAGAAATCAGCAATGGGAATGTAGATTTTCTCTATCTCTTTTTTAATGAAAAGAAACGAAATGACAGGTAGTGACAAAACAGTGCAGTGATCACACCTTTTGAATGAAATCTGATTACTTGGAGGGGAAACCAGCTCCCTCCCTCTCTCCCTCCCTCCAGATATCTGTGAATATGGAACGTTAACCCAGGAATTGTTTTAGCTCTGATGAACCTCACATGGTTATTGCTATATTAAAACAAACCCCTATAATTACTTTTATTTTTTTTTCAAGCACTTTTTCTCACTATTTTTTTTTTTTTTTTTTTTTTTTTTTTTTTTTTTTTTTTTTTTTTTTGTAGATTTTCTCCTTCCTTTTGTTGTCCTTCTCTTGCTAACCTTTCCTCATCTTGCCTTGTAATTGCTTAATTCTGTTATTGATTGCTTTTAGGTAAGCTTACAAATAATTTAACAAGTCCTTGTTTATTTTAACGTTTTAGAATCTTTATATTTCTGTATGTACAGAGGCTGTACTGATAGTAATGATGACATCTTTTGAGCCCTGCCACGAGCTGGACAGTGGTCCAGGAGTGGAGTGGCATGTGCAGTTGCCTTGCTAAACTTTGGCAATAATTTTACTTGTTATGAATGAGTTGATAGTGTATGCTGCTGTAAAAATAGAGGGGAAAAATTCCTCGTCATGTTTTACCATTTCATGAAGGTATAGTAGTAAGTATGAAGAATTATATAGGTATGGGGAAACAAGTGAAGAAAGGGGAATTGAAGAAATGGAAAGGATCTAGTACACAGTTGAAAAGTAGCAAGTTCCAAAAGGAGTACTTATTTTTTTCATGCTTTCAGACTCCTAATGGAATGATGTTAAAAAAAAAAGGGAAATGCTGGTTATTTTTGCCATTTACCTCTTCATCAGAAGATTGTTCATTGATCTCACAATCCTTGGCATTTGATTTTAACATTCATGCCTGGCAGCAAGGGTATGTTGACTTGGTGCCAGTTGGAAATGTGGAGATCACCATGACATGTTTAGAGGGCATCTGGCATTAAGAATTAAGTATCCTTAATTGGGAATGCCAGAGAAATTGATTACCAGTAATCTTTAGTCAGTGGGGAAAAGGATAGGGAAGACTATAGGCTGTGAAGGTTTTGTGTGCTTAAGCTCGTTCAGATGCTATTGAAAGCTTTTTCCCTTCTTGCATTGCATTTGTATTTTGATTTTAGTTAAGATAAGGATTCTTGTGTTGGTGCTATTAGTTATTACTTTGTGTGATTTTTTTCTGTATAGCTTTTGACATTTTAAAATTATTTGATTTGTTCATTTGCTGCTAATCTTATTTATTCAGTTGCCATGACATTGACTACTTTAAAAGTGCAAAAAAAAAAGGGAAATGCTGGTTATTTTTGCCATTTACCTCTTCATCAGAGGATTGTTCATTGATCTCACAATCCTTGGCATTTGATTTTAACATTCATGCCTGGCAGCAAGGGTATGTTGACTTGGTGCCAGTTGGAAATATGGAGATCACCATGACATGTTTATAGGGCATCTGGCATTAAGAATTAAATATCCTTAATTGGGAATGCCAGAGAAATTGATTACCAGTAATCTTTAGTCAGTGGGGAAAAGGATAGGGAAGACTACAGGCTGTGAAGGTTTTGTGTGCTTAAGCTCGTTCAGATGCTATTGAAAGCTTTTTCCCTTCTTGCATTGCATTTGTATTTTGATTTTAGTTAAGATAAGGATTCTTGTGTTGGTGCTATTAGTTATTACTTTGTGTGATTTTTTTCTGTATAGCTTTTGACATTTTAAAATTATTTGATTTGTTCATTTGCTGCTAATCTTATTTATTCAGTTGCCATGACATTGACTACTTTAAAAGTGCTTGCCAAGTAGCGAGTATGAAAGAGTCAAGGGAATAAAACAAAAATCTCAGTCTTTGATGGAGATTAACTAAAATGGTCCCTTTTATTTATTTATTTTATTTTATTCTATTCCAGACTCGCACCCACAGTCGCAAGTGACAGGACTAGTTTGGCTGGACAACGAGAGGGTGATGTCTTCGGGTCACGATGGACTGGTGAAGACATGGAACGTGAAGTTTTGAGTTCTCCTGAATTCTTGAGAGAATCCTTCTTCTTGAAACATGGCCTTTTCATTCAGGACAAGCAAAAATAACAATAAGAAGACTCGTTAATTGTATTGGGACACCAAGAAATTGCTTCATGATGATGTGTGTGTGTGTGTGCCATTTAAAAAAAAACAAAACAAAAAAAGGAACTGGTATATATATAGATATAAATATACTCATATATATATACAGGTTTGAAGAGCATATCAGACTTAAGAATATAGGGTTTTCTCATCACTTCATAGGTAAGTTTAGTTCCTAAGATTATCTCTGAGCCTGGTAATGCAGGGTTTGGAGCCTCTGTATGCCGGAAAGGTTTGTCTGCTGCAAATACTATGTGATTTTATCCAAAGAAATTTGAATCCATTTGTCTGCTGTTGAGATTAGCTCTGTAACAGTGCTTTCATGTGACTCAACCAAACTACCAGTTCTTTCTTTCCTTCTTTAACTGGATTGGAATAGTAATGTTTGTATTAATTACTAAAATCACATTAATATTTATATGGGAAATGCATTTATAATATGAAGAAAAAAAACAAAAAAAAACTATATATCCATAACCATCCTTTGAACGCATCCTTTGGGTATATGTCTTGGCAAGACCTACAAGGTACTCAAAAGTACATAGTTTGACTGTTGTACATTCCCCACACCCTTTAGGTGCTAACCGTCGTGCACTTGAAACTACTAAAGAAAGGTAAAGAAAACGAACGGGATGTTGGGATTTTAAAAAAAGTTAAAAAGAGAGAGAGTAAGGGCTATGAGCTTAGTTTGTCCTGCAGTGCAGAGATATTGAATTAGTTGATACATAGTCTGTTATATCAAAAAAGAGAGAGAAAAAAGGTTGTTTTTAGTATAAATCCTCTTAACTTATTTTTGATACTAGTAGCCCCGAGATTTTCATCATTACTGCATAACAGCTGTAACATGTCATTCATTTCGAAGGGCTGGTGTATTTTTCTTAATAGTAAAAAATTCTTGTGCCAATCTTAGAAGAGAGGATGCAGTTTGCTTTGAGAATACAATGAACTCAGAGAAAGCATGTTGCCAAGATAGATAACGGGATAACAGATATTTCCAATATGATCCACAGAAAGAAAAAAAAAAAAGGGTATCTGGCAATTTAGTAAAAGCATCCTTTAAGACATCAAAACTTCACTGCCTTTTTTTTATACAAGAGAAAAAATTGGAAAGAAGGGGGAAAAAAGAAAAGATAAGACAGACACAGACAGACACAGACAGCCCATATCTAACATGATTTACCATAATTCAGGAATTGTATCTATTTTTAATGTTCCTAAACATCAACATCTTTTTGTAATTTTTGTAAGTGTGAATGTTAAAAAAATAATAATAATAATAATTATGATTTCCATTCATATGTGATTATTGCTTAGTCTCCGTTTTGGGCATGTCTTCCACGCAATGGACATGGGAATAAAAGCGAAAATAATTTATTCCGTATATTTGGAATGTGATTTAAACATTTTTTTGATTTTGTGTGAGAATAATTTTTACGTGGTTATGCTGTATAAAAAAAGAAAAAAAAAAAGAAAGGAAAACTTATAAAAAAAAAATTACATATATATCCCAGTGATTGTTTGATATTCATGTAATGCCCAGTGATTGTGTTATGTAAAACTTCTCTTTATTTTTATTTAAGTTCATCATTTACGGGCCCAAAGTGACTATTAAAGACCTGTCAGTTGATCCCTTTTATTTGTTTACTTTTTTCTACATTTAGATTTCTTTTTCTACATAACTTCACCATTTCCCCCCCTTTTATATGGCCAATAGAATTAGACGTACACAACTGTGATCTTTTCCAAACACCGGTAACTTTTGTCTCGCGACGGCACTCCTGACCGAGGCAGGAATTGAGCCGACTGCATGAGGGCACAATGACAAATTACCCTTTGTACTTGCAGAGGTTCTGGCATGACCGTTGTCTCTTGGTCTTGCCTTCTGATTTGGTGAAATTTGTGATCTGTACTTCGCAAATCTCTCGCACACTCTCTTTTCCTCTCCTTTAAACTCTCTATCTTTATTTAGTAATTCATGATAACAGTGTCACTATAAATTTTTGGAAATGTGTGTCATTTTTGGTACTCTTTAGGAAGATCCCGTGTAACCCACTGAAGAGCTTATTCAACATTGCAGGGTAATGTAAATCTCACTGTAAAAGGGGTATTACCTGTTGCATATATAATTCTGCTCAAGAAACAAAAGATAAACTAAAAAAAAAAAAATGAAGAAAAAAAAGGAAGAAGAAAAGTAATAAACAAGGACTTAGTAATAAGAACACTATGCAGAATCTTTTGTAAAGCCATCTGAAAGAAGTTCAAACTAGCACACCCATGGAGAACATATGATGTTGCCATGAGAACAGTGTGCCTATTCCTTGTTATAGCAGTGCAAGTACAGAACAAGATTGAATATAGGAAAACCGTACAACTACAATTACTTATAGCAGTTTTTCAAAATATTTACACAATATTTCCCTCCCCTTTTTCTGTAAGGCATCAAGTTCCTGATTGCCCTCTCAGCCTTCATTTTGATATCAATAAACAATCACCTTGGTTTTCGTTCTTTTGATTTTATACCCTCACAAATTATAATTGGTTATTCGCAAGTGCATTAATTTTTCTTATGTATCAGCTGCTTGTATTTTTTTTTTTTTTCTTTCTTTCTTTTCCTGTTTTGAAATATGGAGACCTAACAGTGTAAATGTTCTTTGTTTAAACCTTAGCAAGCAGTGCCGATAATCAGAATTTTTATAAACCTCTGGTATTGATTACGATAGGTGTGATTCCACCACAAAATATGTCAGAATGCCTTTCAATTAGGGTGAACAGAAAGATATTAGAGTGAAGGTGGTCTGTACATAATCACAGAAATTTATGCATAACATAGCATTTTCTCAAACAACATTCAGGGGAGGAGGGGGTTAAATAAAATTGTGTCAGTGATGCTGGCAATCAAATTTACTGAAAATTCATCTGGCCATTTGAGCTGGGATATCTAAATTGTGTTGAGTAATATAGAGAATTTTCCCAAGTATGCTTAGAAAGGGAAATCATAGTGGATTTTACTGCTGTCTGAAGTCCTGGTTGGGTATTTTTGACCCATTTTATGGTGGAAGTTCACAGATGATATTTAAAAAATAATAAGTGTTGCTGGCTGGTAAGTGTGTCTCATTTTCTTATGAATCAATATATAAAACTTTCCATATACTTGAGTTGTATATTACATAATAAATTAATATATATATTGACAAAGTAATGCATTTACCTCTTGAAATGACCATTTGATGGTACTTAAGGGATTTTTTCTGCTCGTCATTCTAACTGCTTGAGATCTTGAATTTTAAAGATGTTATATCTTCAATTTAGTGAGAAGAATAAGTAAGAATAAAATTAAAAAGTGGACCAGTTGTCAAGTCCTAAACACTCCTTAAATGTATGGCAAGAAAGATGCCATACATAATGTAATATGTTTATTTATTGTATTTACACAGATGGCTGTACAAGTGCTTAGTCACCAAAGTGTCGGTTATTAGTCGTAACTATTTCCCCCATTTACCCTTTTCCTTGACTTTTTGAAAGGGTCTTTTGCATTATTTCATTACCTTAAATGTTACCAAGATTTTAATAACTTAAAAATCATAACATCAATAACAGTAATAACAGAATCGATATCAATTGTATTAAAAAGAAAAACACATTTTCCCACCAATTCAAGGATTGGGGAAATCAGGATCAGTCACTAGAGCCTTACTGATAGGCACACGTGAAGCCATCTATATGTAACAAAATAAAAACACACTTTAGCAAAGTACAACTAAGTCAAAAATTGGTTATCTTGACCAGTGTGTGGCTTGGCCCAATTTGTTTCACCTTTATTTTGATTTTTTTCTTGATGCTGCATTATCAAAAAGCATTTTCTTCAAATTTCTATTTTTTATGAGAAACTGTGGAAAAAAAATCAAATACCAATTCCATCTGCATCTGTCAGAAATTATAAGCAGAGCAGGATGAAAAAACGTTTTACTGGTGCATCGATTTCTGCATTTCACACTTTTATACTAACCTAAAGCTTGATTTTCAAGTGCAATGAATATTTTTCATACAAGTTCTAAATATACTTTTGGGGGTTCCTGTTTTAATATCTCCACAAATACACAATATTTAAAGATGTATATTTTTGCATTTTCAATCCGTTCAAGGATTTAGGGTCCCCTCGGTGTATGGAAAAAGGAATAGGTTATATAAGGTAAAATTATTTTAATAGATTCATAAATAAAAACTATACATAATTACATTTCAACAACAGTAGATTAAAACAATATTTGTGCCTTTATATCCACAATATATATTTTATAGTGAACAGGTGCTAATATATAGTTAAAGATCTAGTGCCCTAGTTGCATACAATGTAGTTAAAAGTCTGCTGTGTAATGGTCATTCATGTGAAGGTCTATTGTTGTAGGCTCTACAGATAAAGCTTCTGTGTAGTTAAGTCAAATAAAAGTGACACTCCTTTGTAGTTATGTCCCAGTGTAATTGGTACCCATACTATAGTTAAGTCTGAGAGGTGCTTACAGTTTATTTAAAGGTTTGGTGTAATAGATGGTTATTGTGTAGTTAAAGGTCTGGTGTCAGAGGCACAAAAGAGTGTAAGTAAAAGTCAGGTGCCATTGGCGTTTATAATCAAAGATCTGTTGTAATATTAACAGTATGCGTTGAGGCAGGTTCCAGCCTATGCGCAACCCCACCTCCGCGGGCATCAGAACGAGACACCAACTTATCTTTGGTCTTGGAAACCCCATTGACACTAGAGTACGGGAGGTGTATGATCTGGAGTGTGTGGTTCATTGTTTGAAGGTCATTTCTTACGGTTCCTGGCAGACGGTCGATGGAACCCATGTCTACGGAAGCGAGAGGAAACTGGTAAAAATGTGGACGTTGATTTGATTTTTTTTTCTGTTTCTTTTTTTTGAAGAACATTGGAAGGAAAATAACTTCACATCTACATACTCGGAAATAACCCATACAACCCATGTATTGCAATGTGCCTCACCTTCAACAAAGACTTGGTCCAATCCTGGTCTGATGGTAATTCTCGGCTGTTGGATGGCCTGGGTTAGGTTCTGGCCTCGGAGGAGCAACTGACTTATCACCTGGATCATTGCTCCCACTTCTGGACTTGACAGCACCGCTCTCATCCCACACACCTTTGGAAATGTAATGTTTTGTAGGCATGTAATGTTACATAGGTGCTTAGAGGGATGTGTATCTATACTTCCTTTTTCTCACAATAGCATAAAGTTACTATTGCTAATTTACATCACTATTACCAGCAGCAACAACTGCAACTACATAGTATCAACAGTAATAATAATCCATGATGATATTGCCATTCATAACCTGACCTTGTATCCACTAACTTTACTCAAATACCCTCAACGAGTAAGAAAAAATAAATATATAAATAAATAAAAAAAGACTGAATTCAACCCCCACCTGCTGAACATCTGTGATAATAACAGGCGTGTAAGTATTAAGAGGTCTGGCGTGTGAAAAGTGCTCGCTGTCCGGGTGGCTGTGAGGAGGCATGTTGGACAGATGGTTGTTGAAGAGAATCCCGCTTTTGGTCATCACGCGGGACCCAAAATAGGTTCCAAGGCCACTGCAATGAGAGAGTATATAAATAATGAGCGAACGTAAATTAATGGATGAATGAATAAAGAAAATTAATAATGATTAAGGAATAAAAATAGTGTATAATATATATATATATATATATATATATATATATATATATATATATATATATATATATATATATATAATTATGTGCACATCGCACATAATTTTTTCCCTTCCAACTGCCCCCACAAAACGAATCGCCCTTTTTGCTACTTACGCAATCACAGTAACATATCGATCAAAAGTATCTATAACAGACACTGAAGAAGCAGTCTGTTCAGGAAGTCGGAAGACATTCGGGTCGGCTGCCGTGACCGTCTGATCAATCCATTCGCTGGACGTCGACTGCAGCAATGCGTGAGTCATGTTCTGCAACTCCGCCTCCTCTGCATCGGCTGGCGGAAAGAAGGAAGGAAATTTACAAGTACAAAACTAAGAGAAAAAAAGTTGAACAGAAAATAAAACGAGGAATATGAAGGGCTCATCTAAATTTCTCATAATTTTCATGAGCGTACAAAACCCACGCTAGAGAAGAAGGGGTTAATCTCTCGACCTCTAGACAGGGAGACGTGTGGCAGATGAGGTTTCCTATTTCAAATACAAACACATTCGTGCCTATTAAAATCAGTCGATATTAACGCATTCCTATAGGCCTTGGGGATCCTGTGGCAGAGGTCATCACTTTTATATTTTCGCTTTGACCAATCCAGAGGGGGGAAGGAGTAGGTCTTTGGGGGGGGGGGGGGGGGGAGATGACTGTGAAAATGACTTAAAAACAACGGACGACCCGAAACACACCTGCTCCGAACCCAGAGGGAATCGACGCCAAGCGAACCTCCTTACCTAAACCGACGAAACCGGCGTAGCTCCTCCTAATGGCTTCGATAAAGGAGTGGTAGTAATTCGACAGCGGCAAATGCGTCGTTAAATTCGTGTTGCGAAGGAGTTGCAAGGCCGTCAATAACTGCGGTCCTCCAAAGGGCGCTGGTGCGGTGAACACAGACATGTTATTCAGTGACATGTGTATGCATGGGCGCTCTCGGGGCTGAAAGAAAATACACAACTTATTTTCTTTTTTTTGTTAATGTTTCGACTGGGTTCATTACGGAGAAAAAATACAAAGAATTGAACCCAAATTGTTAGATATGACGCATATAACAACGATGATGACGATAAAGAGATAAACGATAAAAAGCGAAACCACCATGACTGTTTATCAACACCACAACTATTAACCACTAATGAATAATAAGAAAAATCCGTTTCTTTGGCAAATAAATTAAAATGCCAAGATTCCACCACAGACAAAATACCTCATAATCTTCAAAATCTTTCACATGGATTTCGGCGCCATTTTCTTGAAGGGCTTCCATCTCCT